CTGGAGCCTCCATTTGACCTGCATTTTTAAGTATTGGTGGTATACTTGTTAGAGCTAAGGCTACAGCTATCGATTATTTTGGAAATCAAGTTAGTTATCAGTTAGTCCGTCTTTTAATCGGATAAGAAATGCTTTTGTCTTATTAATGAGCAATAAAACCCATTCAAAGAAAAAAAAAAAACAACCCACAGGTCTTTCAGAATTAACTGCATATTAGTTTGCATTTTAGAAATTACAATGTTTTAAAGTTTAACTGCATACAATAGATTTTTTTATTAAAAAAAACCAACAAAACTAAACTCTTTGATTGGATGTACATTTCATACTGAAAACATTTTCTTAAATTCAAAAATATATAAATAATCTCAAGTACGATCAAAGGGCAAAGTCAAATAAAATAAGATATATACGCAATCGAAAATAAAGCATACCTTTACTGTTTTCTTGCCTGTTTTCTTGGAGGCAACTTTTTGTACTGCGGAAAACAGATGCTATGATGATATAGACGTTAACTAATAGCGTCCAACCGAACAACAACCCTCACGTCAGTGGCTCAGAGTTGCCCATGTACATTTTTATTGGCCTGTGAAAAAAGCTTTTATTTTTATATTTTTAAACGCGAATCCAGTTTAATTGATAAAATATTTTATATTACTCCACTTTCAATCTGAAAAATGGTACGAAAGCCTTGAAATAAATCTGGACTAGTACACCCCATGCCCCCCTTTAGAGTCACCACTATTTGCTGGAGGTATCGCTTCCATATAAAATTTGAATACACCTTCTGGAGGCTTACTGCAGGCTTTTTGCTGTGTAAAACAAACAGTGGTGGAGGGAAATGCCAGTTTCCTTTTCCTTTTCTTCATGTCGGAGTTTATTGATCAGGTGGTTTGATGAAGGACTCCTGCTAGCTTTTTCCCAGTTAAGTTTTTAATGGTGATTACAGGAACAGGGCCTCTGTTTTAAACACTAGAAACACTCTTTCTTTTACTCAGTTTGAGCTTACCATCTCATTAAAAAAAACTGTGGCAGCGTCATCATCACTGCTGCTATGTTATCTGTGTTTTTGTTTAAAACTGGGGGCTGTGTGGGCTTAATGTTTTCAGACTTTTTATTCAACCACTGCTCCTAAATACGTTCCTACTGCAGAGCTGTTTTTAGTTACAAGAATGAAATGTTTGTCTTTTCATCATTTAACACAGCGGTCCCCAATCCACCAGTCCGTGAGGCGTTTGGTACCGGGCCGTGACAGTTGAGGCTTGGGTGTGAAATGTACTGTTTTAAGGGTTTTTATTGTTTTTTATCGTTATTTTTTTTAAATCATTTTTATCATTGACTCGGTTTCCCCGGGTTTTTTCCTGTGTGTTATGAAGAATTCTTTATTTGGGTACCGGTACTGGTTTTATTTTGTTGTATTTGTTTGCGACACCTTAAAGGCCGGTCCGTGAAAGTATCATCGGACACAAACCGGTTTGTGGCACAAAAAAGGTTGGGGACTGCTGATTTAACACATCGGCATACTGCAGAGTCATGTGTTAAATGATGCACTGTCTGTGTCAAGAGTTTTATAATCAAATTACTGGAATTACTCGATGAATCGTTGCAGCCGTAGTTAGAGCAGGTGATCCGGGTTTGATTCTGAGTCAATGCAAAGCTGCTTTGCTGCTGTAGTGGAGAGGAAGAGCAGGTTGTCTACTGTCCTTGGCTGCTCTACTCTTTATGTAAAAAAATATTTTTGGGCAAGATACCGTACCTGATGAGCCTGTGTGTGTGTGTGTGTGTATGTGTGTACAATTGTTAGACAAGGTGCGGGTGAAATAACTCCCCAGACTAAGCGGAAAGGTGCTTTATACGCACCAGCAATCACTTCAAAGTTTGTTGTTGTTGTTTTTGTGTTTGTACTGTAAGAAAAATCATATGTGTATTCTCATTAGCATATATGATGAGGATAGGGGTTTGTGGCGGTGCGTGGAACTGTAGCCTCAGGTTTATATTGTTATCACGTTATGTGACAGTGTGTTTAAGTTCATGTTACAGAGTTAAGCAAAAGTAACAGTAACCAAATTAGTTTCTCTGGAGAGTAAATAAGCAACACACTGCATTGCTTTTAAGGAAAGTAACAAGTAATGTTTAACGCTTTAAACTTTTTGAGTAACGACCACAACATTCTGATAACTTTACCCTCCGACCTCTTTAAATGTGGGCACGTCTGGGTCCAACAAGTCCACATTAACAAAAATGTAGTAAACAATCGCACTAATAATACAACAGCAATCCAACAAAGTCACAGGACTCAGTTAAAATCATCCACACTGTCACAAAAATAGCGAGTAAATTCATTCAGTGTTTCCTCGCTCAGCTCTCTCTCTCCGTGTGGTTTCTAAGGTCTCTCCATCTCTCTCTGTTACCGGCAGGCAGCCAATCATCTGCAGGGTCTCGCGCCTCCTGTTTTCGCCTCACCTCGCCTCAGTGCCAATCAGACCGTTCACACTGCGCACACGCCACGGCACGTCGCCACGGGCGCCGCTGACAACAGGAGACACGGCGGAGGGCACAAGCCACCACACACACACACCTCCCCTCCCTGTTACTGAACATCAGCGTTGTGTGTACCCCCTGCCACCACCCTCCCCCTCCCTCGCTCCCTTCACTCTGTCGCAAGAGCGACGCACGTATCCGTTCATAACCTCCGCCATTATTCATCACCCCCTACCCCCTCCCTCTCCCCCGTCCTTCTCCTTTCTTCCCATGGTGCCGTTTTTTTTCCTTTCCTCGAGCTCGTCTCTTTTTCCCACCCCTGCAGGGTCTCCACAGAGCTGCTTCCTCCTCGCCTCACCCGGGCTAATTTAACGCCTCTCTCTCTCTCTCTGTGTGTGTGTCTCTCTCCCTGCCTCGCACTGGCTTGTGCCAAGCCCAGGTGATTATCCATCCGCCCCCCGTTATCCGTTACCCCCCTCCTCCTCCTCCCCCCCCTCCATTCCTCCTCCTCCTCCTCTCCTCGGTACCAACAGACCGACAAATCCCTCCCGGTGCTCCTTTCTCCCCCCTACCCCTCCTCTCCTCTCCTTTCCTCTCTCTCTCTGTCTCCTTCCCGCCAGCCATGATCCGTGGCGGGCTAATTCCCAGACGGTCTTCTTCCTCTTCTCCTCCTTCCTCCTCTTCTTCTCATCACCCTCTTCCTCCACCACCTCCTCCTCCTCGCGGGCCCGGTAAGTAGCAGCAGCAGCAAGCGCCGTCCATCTTCTCGTTTACTCCTCCTCTCTCTGTCGGACTGCATGCTGTGTTCACGGTATTTACCGCTCGTTATCGAGTCTGGCTATTTTTTTTTTTTTGATTGACCCCCCTCCCCCCCAACACTCCCCCTCCCCCCTCCCTCTCCTCCTTCTTCCCTCCTTCCTTTTCCTTTCTCGTGCTGTGCCGGGGGAGGGGGGGGGGGGGGGGGGGGGAGGGGAGGTGTTAATGTGTCGCGTGGGAGAGCCGTTTTCCCCCCTCGCGGCCGGTGGCCACCATGACCTTCTGTCGGAGCTCGCGCCAGCCCGGTTGACCAGACAGGGTAATTAGTTACGCCTCGGGGGAGTGGGAGAGTGGTGGTGGTGAGGAGGGGGGGGGGATGTTGCGAGAGACACACACACACAGGCTTGACGTACACACTGGCTGCGCACACGCACGCAGAGCAGAGCGCACGGACGCACACACACATTTGAGGCTGCACACATTCAATTCTTTTCACATAGACATGCACACACACACGCACACACACACACACACACACACACACACACACACACACAC